GCCAAATTATAATAAACTGTAAAAGTCAAACTCTGATTTATTAATCTCACCTTACTGGGAGCATCTGATGTCCAATTTCACACAACAATTCTAGGCTGTGAACACCTTGGGCTCTTCCATCCCAGAGTTCTCAACCTATCAATGCTGTCCAAAGTTTTAAATCTGATGCACCCAGTGAAACGAGAGTTGGAGAAACGAGTAATACCTTGTTTTTTGTCAAACTACTCAAAGTTTAACACAAAAACGGGATGGTGGCACACAAATTATCGTGCTTAGAGAACCTTTTCCATGTAGATTATTTTGAAAGCTAGAAAAGTCCAATGAAGGTTTTTGGAAGAACTGGTTTTATTAGATATTATTAAGAACATATACAAAGACTTGTGTCTTGCAAAATACCTGTCAGCACCGGTGTGCCATATTAACAAGCATCTTTAGAAGATAAGGCATCTTGAGGGTTACAGTTCAGCAAAAGATAGGAATCTAGAATTTGACCACCCCTGTTTTGTGCCAAAATATCTTCTTTGGAAAAATTCTCTAACTCAGCTGTAGTCACATCTTTTTAGTCTGAATTTAGAAAATCTGTTCTCAATTCAACTCATTTCACTGTGCCTTGGAAAACTGCTGATTTTATATAATTTAAGAAATTGCTTTTCAGCTGATAAAATATTTTTGGAAAAGCTTAAATATATATATATTTTTTTCTCTTCAAAATATCAAAAAATATATCATATAAAAGACAAAACAGTATAATATTATTTAAAATATTAAATCATTTTCAAAGTTTATCCAAAAATATTTAATAATTTCAAAAGTTTATCCAGAATTAAGGCAACAGGAGGTGGTGTGGACAATCCTGCATCAATCCTGCAGGATTCTGCATCAAGAAAATGCAAAGCATGTAGACTGAAATCTATTATTGAATATACACACACAGGTTGTGGAAAGGTGGCGCTATAGAATTATTATATTAAAGTGAATTTAGCTGCTATACACTCTGTGGGTACTCCTAAAAACCCAACATACATAGAAATCACCAAAAAACAATAAAGGAAATTTTCAGATTTATCAGGTGTCTATCCCTTTAAATCCTCAATTCCCATGAGTGAAGCGCTTCAGTGTAATTTTAGATATTGTGAATATATATATGTGGTGCCAAGAGGCACTTACCATCTACACAATGCTCGTATTTCCGTATACATATATATAGGGAAAAAAACAGATATATACAAATAATAGTGCAATATGTCTAAAGAATCAGTTTTTATTATATATGTGAGTTCGAATGTAAATTAACTCACATTTTTTAGAGCCTTTTACAGTGGTAAGGCTCTAAACTTCCAAACGTCTGTGTCTTTTGGGTACATCACACAACCCCTCTCTCTCAATGACGGACCGTCTGTTGTTCTCCAGAGTATATGAAGATGAAACAGAGAAAAAACGTCCAAACTAAGTGTAGTATTTAAAGTACCAACGTGTATCAATGTGGATAAAAACCAGAAAGAGTGCTCACCTTTTCTAGAGCCTTTTTATAACTGGCTCTAAGTATGTAGGTTCAGTGTCAATTTATAGGGTGACACTATCCCTTTCTTGAATCACTTGTGCAGGATGCAGTAGGTATAATATATAACAAATATGTTTATTACCAATATTAAAATGTACAGACTATATATAAAAACAAAAAAAGGGGTTATATAAAAACATATAAATAATACTAATGTATTCAGTGGTGTAGCATAAATCCACTTGCAGCCAAAACGCGTTTCACCGAAAATCGGCTTCCTCAGTCAGCTTCAGTCAGAAATCTATTATTACCAATATCTAAAAGCTTCTGATAAAATAACATTAGCGCAGGACACAGACAGTTTATTAATGATCTTATAATTAACATAATGGTTTGTGTTTCCATGTGACGGGTTTACTGAGGCAGAACCCCGCAAGAATTATTTAAGGTCTTAAAGTAACTGAAATAATTAACACGAAACACTAGAGCTATGTAAATTGAATGTTATACACTCACAGAAAGATCTCAAGAAGATATAGAGTTACTGGCCATTTGGTGTTGGTAGGAATGCTGACCACTGTCTTCCCATAGCTTCTGCTCTTGGAAGATCTGGGGTTATATTTGGACATCTATACCCTTACCTCACTGGGTTAGCCTAGGTCACCTCAGTGCTACCCGCAGGCCGTAACCACTCCAGCATTGTGTTTCATTACACAGCACATCCATGCATAGCTGTTGCATCTAAATTAAAACTTGGCACTGGTCGGTAATTTAAAACCTGTCTATTTCCAGATACCACCTTAGTTCTGTGAGTGATTGATGCCCCATCCGTGTAAAAAGATTCTACATGTGCACCGTGCCCTGAACATGGAATGTCAGTCTTGAGAATGAATGAAACAAACCTGTTCCTCAAGCTTCATGTTAAATGGAAATGACCAGTTATCATCGCAAAGGCTCGATATAACTCCCAGGGATTATTTATAATAAATATTTTTTTTTTTATAAACTGGACAAACCTTTCATGATGTTTATGTGCACAATTAACCATCATCATTAGATTTCTACATTTTATAGGTGTATTTGAAACCATGTAGCCAAATCTAAAAATGGAGAACTGTAATCAATAAAATATGTGTAGAACATACCAAAGGAACAAAAAGCAGCTGGTAGAACTGGGCTGGAATTATTATTATTATTTATAAAGTATCAACAAATTCCGCAACGCTTAACATAGGTGGGCAAGTATTTGCAACAAGATGAGCTGAACGCACAGAAACAGAGGTGCTGAGGGACCTGCTCAAAAAAGCTTACATTCTTAGGGAGTGGGGAAAAGTAACACAAGAGGTATACTACAACATCTTCATATCTGGGAGAAATGGTGGAACAACAAAGGATTGGCCTTCTCCAAGTTCCATATTTTATAAGAGCAGAAAGAGGACAAAGTTTCGCATCTTGATTAGGGACAAAGTGAAATTGGCAGCACCGAAAAGTATTTGAGTTTGGGTGTTCTACTAGATGCAACTCTATATCTAGAAAATGAGGAATTGCACAAAATATCCACAAGTTAAAGGAACACTAAAGCCTTAGGAATACAAACATATATTCCTAACCCTGTAGTTTTCTCCTCCCTATTTAGGCTCAGGGAACTCATAAAATTACATTGAAAAAAAGGGTTTTACTTACCTTTTTTTCCAGTGCTACAACTCACTCGGTGCAGCCACCTGCTCCTTCTAGTATATCATCCCACAGGCATCGCTACTTTGTCTTCTTGTCCATTCCAATGCTTTAGGATGAGAAGCATATGAGGAGCATTGAGAGGAGATGACATGTGAGAACCAAGTCTGACTTGGGTCTCAAAGTGGAAGAACCTCTAGTGGGTGTCAGACAGACAACCATTAGAGATGTTTTTTGCCCTGTAATGGAATAGTTGCAGTATCTATTAAACGACAATGTTTTACATTGCAGGGCTAAAACACTAAAGGGACACTAAAACCACTCAGACTACTTCACTGAGATGAAGAGAATGCAAAATACCTAGTAATCCAACTTTTCTTTGAATATTCGAAATTTAGATTATTTTTACTCAAACTGACAACCACTACAAATATGCCTTTTTAAATTAAAAACTGAAATATCATTCAGAACATTTTTGACTTTTTAATTACATGACTCTACTTTCGCAGCATAATTTGAAATAGAAAGTCATGGTTAGGATCTTTGCAGTTTAACCTCTGTATTCACATAAAATTTGTGTGCTGTAGCAATAGCCAACACATTGAGAAAGAACACTATGTGGAAAAAGATACTGATATGCGTGGGTGACCAGAACCTTATTTAATATAAATGATGTTGGCTACAAGTTAATATTTGTTCACAGGGCACAACCAATCCGACATTCTCATCAAGAGAACAGAAGTTTATTACAGTCACACTAATCATGATAAATCAGTGATGTGATACAGTATGTCTCGTATATCCTGGAGGACACAGAAAAATGCATCTAAAATACCATTGTTGGACAGGCCTGGATTACAAATATTTGATAGTATTTGAAAAATGTTATATGTTAAAAACTGTCTTTATTAAAATATTTTGTTTATGACACTGCCAAAGTAGTGATTTTTAATGTGTTTCAAATCCCACACTGACTCTGAGAGAGTTAAATTCTCCCACCCCTCCTCTCCCCAGCCATAAATGTCATCTCTCACAAGACAATGACCTTAATAGCACAAGTCTGCCAGGCTACATCCTCCATCATTGAGATGCAAAACTCTCCTCACGATACAAAGTGCTTTCTGTCTATATAAGTGTCTTGACCACGGACAAGCCTCCACTCAGTGTAATTGATATCAGTCACCATCTATGACTTAAAGAGAAAGAACCTTCATTTGGCGTACACACAACTGGTTGATTAAAGACTAGGCGGGCTGTTCCGACTTGCAGACAGCAGAAACTGGATCATCAGTGGCAGATGGCCGGCAGTTATAATGAGAACGATAACATACTCTATGTATAAATAACCTTCTAAACCCCCCAAATGGCCAAAGTGTTCTTGTAGCAGGTTCAAGACCAGCCCGCACCTTCAGCTTAGAACACGTGGCCCTGTAGACACGTACATGTGAGAATTCCAAAGATCAATTTAAGTGGGAAACAAAGACTGGTAATTAATTAATTAATGAGGTTTCCAAAAATATCTGCTGTCAACATTTAAAAAGGCCTTAATTATTCTTTGAACCCTTGCAATACGGTAATGATTTTCCATGCACTGATACATTGAGTCAGTAGGCAGAGTTATGAGTTAATTGTATATGTAGCTATTCACTGACTAGTGTGACTTAATAAGTCTTTACTGGAACCCTAGCATGTTACTATGTAAATACATTATTAACAGAGAAAACCAATTTAGTAAACGTGATACATTTATTGTATAAATAAGTATTTAGTTTTCGAATACGTTTCAAACCTTTATTATTACTCGTCTTTTTGCTATGTATCCATTGTTAACACTTGACTAATCTTCACTCTTTATTAATTGAGTCACCTGAATTCAAGCAGGGATTTCTCCTTTGACACACTAGTACAAAAACCAGGGATCATGATGCCTGAAAATGAATTCAATTACTGTACAGTATGAATAAGTCCATGGCAGACTATGTTACTATGAAACCCAGAATATCCCCCCACTGCTCCACAGAGCACTTTTCTACCACAGACCACAATACATACAGGTAGCCGCAGGAGATGTACTTATTTAGTATCCTCATATCAGCATGCATCGGGAAGAAGTGTTTAAAGAATGCGGGAGCGTTCAGCACAAATAGTGTAGCAACAGAGGACCATCTCTTATCTGTGCAGGATTCATATAATATGCTTGATATCACTGTGTCTGTGCAACCGGTTATACTTTAATGTACAAGGCATTTTGCCAACAACAGCGTTTGCCACTCCATACTGACACCCACTGTATAAGGAAGCAATCTCGATTGGACACTCCTCAGTGGGCACCCAAAGGGGAACCTACATAGCCAATATGGAGCTTCTTGTTCCACTCAGGCCATATAGGCCTCCCGAACTACTGTACTGTTCTAAACGTAATCCACAATTCATGTTCAGTACAACATCTACACTTGCACATTGACCGTTTAACTTACATTCTATTGGTCGTTTTGTTTATTAATTTGTTTTTAATTTTTTTCTTTTTTTAAGTGCAAATACATCACATGCCAAGTATATGTCACCAATTGTCTTGAAGTATCTTCCTTGTCTGTGCTCTCTTGGCCATATTGGCATAACTGTTTTACATGCACTGCAAAAACAACGATTTTAAAAAACTAATGAAAAAAGAACTTGAAAAATGTGTGACCATAGCTAAGAGTCCACCCACTGCTTCCCAGTATAAAGAGTTAACCATCCAGACAATCCAGGGCACCTGTTCTAGTTGGGCCCTCTATTAACTGACGCATAAAACTGCAGGTTGAAAATTTTGTTAAACTGAGCTGACAATTAGTTGTAATGATGGACTGCAGGTTAGTGACAATGAAAGCCACCAGTGAATTAAGGAACGTGTTCTCAAAGTTGGTCCTTACAAATAATAACTCTAACAAAATCCATATTTCAGCAGCTATCAATATAAATAACTGCAGACCTCTTTCACTCCACTCAAATTCTAGACAGTATGCACTCTTTAGTAAATACGGAATAAGTTAAAAGAAAAGTGAATGGTTTAAGGATGGATGAAACAAGTTAAAATATTTCTGTAAATTGTGTTATTTTTGTGTTTACCTGAAATAACCTGGATTTTTTTAATGTAACGGAAGTTGCATGCATACGCTGGGGCAGAAGAGGGTAGACAAATACAGGAAAGAGTCATCGACCTGATGCTAATGCTTAGTAGGAAGAGATGGAAAAGATTTGTTTGGGAATACAAATAACCGGGTGAAAGCAGGACAGTCTGAAATGAAGGAAATCTGCTTAAGATTTTGACTTCCGCATCAATGCTTTGTTGTACGATATGTGCGCAAACGTGTGGAAAACGTCTGTCTGACCACTTCAAAAAATAGCTCAAATCAAATCAAGATATGGGCCATATTCAACAAGAGTACATCATAGCAACATGCATACAGCTAGACAGCGGCAGATTAACTTGATACTAAACATCAGATGGAATGTCCAAAAATAATAAGAAAAAAAAAACCTTGTCAATAAACCATTAACATAGAATACCTGAATAAAGGCGCTAGCACCAGTGAACTAACACGAATGTGAAAAATATATAGTTTTTAATTATTATTTTTTTCATATTTCTACCATTACATTTTTTTAAATTTGAACTTTTTCCAGTCTTAATCATATACTTTCTATTATGACAATGCGGTCCATTAAGTTTACATGTCATTATAGTGCCCGATTGTCACAATACAATTAGGACATTACATAGAAATAGCAAGGTAGTTAACATAGAATAATTTTCATCCCAAAATAGATTAACAAAGCGACCTTCTTGTTGCTATACAAAATTCTTCTTTTCTTTCTTGAATTTTACGGTTCTATCAAGCAGGTACATTAACTAGCTGGAAGTTGATGTTGAAGCGGTTAAACTGAAATCAGAGGTAGAAGAGATTCATGGTACAGATATTACAATGATGTCATGTGTTTGTTTACACCAAGGCTCAGGGACTTGCTGTAACATGAGTCCAATTGCTGGCAGTCAAGCTACGGGGACAATCTAGTCGTTTCACCTTTGTTCTAGAAACCCTGTTGCATAACTTGGAGGATTACGACATGTTTATAGGGCCTATGTGGGAAATTAAAAAATAAGGAAACGCCAAAATGCCCGCTGCCAAAAACGATGGTTTTGCTTCAGGGTTGGTAAGATTGCCAGGCTTTACAGCACAGTGAGTCGTTCTAAACACGGGACTCTCAATGCCGAATACTTTCCCATGACTATTGTGCTTGCTGACTGACGTACGGACAGGTAAGGCAATATTTACATATTCATTCAAACCGCATGAGCTGTGTTAGAGATTTGGGAGGCAAGGGGCGGAGAGGGGGGGGGCATCCTTATCCTGTTAAAGAATAATAACCGATTGATTACAAACCACTCGCAATGCATAATGCTGAAGATATGTGTGCTTGGAAGATAATTCAACTGGCGGGAAAAGATTTGGGACATTGAACATGCACGCCTTTAATCATTTAACCTTTAACCCTATTACAGAACAAACTGTGCTCAAAACACACCATGTGCTCGAAGATGAAATTAATTCCCACTGTCTTAGTCCTGAACTGGCCTCTAAACTTGCCTCTGAGATGTCGTCATGTAAGAAAAAAGTATATAATGTGAACTGTATTACGGGAGTCAGATGACCTTGCCGATGCTATTTTTGTTCCATAATGTTGCTTTCATGTTAATCAATGTTCTCTTGTCCTTTGTTTCCATGAAATCTGCTTCCTCCATTACACCGTTACGCTGAATTAAGTCTTGATGACATCACACATGCATGTGACTAACTAACGTGGTTGAAAAGGAAAGTGGATTCTGCATTTATTTGGGAGAAGGGGAGCTTTAAAGAGAATAAGAATTTGGACTAGCCGACAGTGACATGAACTTATAACTTTCCACAATGCTCATCTTACTGAGGGCATCTTTACATCGTTACATACACATTTATACTGTACTAAAAAGGTGCACTTATATTTACATCAGTCACACTACAGAGGAAAGTTACAGTAAGTGCAATAGTTATACAGTGTAAATTTCAGTTACATCATGCTAACAGATGCACTTTACAGGTTACATTATAGCCAAGGAAGGAGCAGTAAGTGCAGTAGGTTTACAGTGTATGTATATTTTATTTATACGGTGCTATCAGGTGTACTCAGCACTTTACAAATTACATTAAAAACATAGAAACATAGAATGTGACGGCAGATAAGAACCATTCGGCCCATCTAGTCTGCCCAATTTTCTAAATACTTTCATTAGTCCTTAGCCTTATCTTATAGTTAGGATAGCCTTATGCCTATCCCACGCATGCTTAAACTCCTTTACTGTGTTAACCTCTACCACTTCAGCTGGAAGGCTATTCCATGCATCCACTACCCTCTCAGTAAAGTAATACTTCCTGATATTATTTTTAAACCTTTGTCCCTCTAATTTAAGACTATGTCCTCTTGTTGTGGTAGTTTTTCTTCTTTTAAATATAGTCTCCCCCTTTACTGTGTTGATTCCCTTTATGTATTTAAATGTTTCTATCATATCCCCGTCTCGTCTTTCCTCCAAGCTATATATTTTGAGTTCCTTTAACCTTCCCTTGTAAGTTTTATCCTGCAATCCATGAACCAGTTTAGTAGCCCTTCTCTGAACTCTCAAGGTATCAATATCCTTCTGGAGATACGGTCTCCAGTACTGCGTACAATACTCCAAGTGAGGTCTCACCAGTGTTCTGTACAATGGCATGAGCACTTCCCTCTTTCTACTGCTAATACCTCTCCCTATACAACCAAGCATTCTGCTAGCATTTCCTGCTGCTCTATCACATTGTCTGCCTACCTTTAAATCATCTAAAATAAAAAAAAACAGATGTTTAGGTTACGACTCTATCAAATATTCTGTACTCTGCCCTTGGGTTTTTATGTCCAAGATGCATTATCTTGCACTTATCCACATTAAATGTCAGTTGCCACAATTCTGACCATTTTTCTAGTTTACCTAAATCATTTGCCATTTGGCTTATCCCTCCTGGAACATCAACCCTGTTACATATCTTAGTATCATCAGCAAAAAGGCATACCTTACCATCAAGACCTTCTGCCATATCACTAATAAAAATATTAAAGAGAATGGGTCCAAGTACAGATCCCTGAGGTACCCCACTGGTGACAAGCCCATGCTTAGAATATACTCCATTGACTACAACCCTCTGTTGCCTGCCACTCAGCCACTGTCTTACCCATTCAACAGTATTGGAATCCAAACTTAAAGATTGCAGTTTATTGATAAGCCTTCTATGTGCAACAGTGTCAAAAGCCTTACTGAAATCTAGGTAAGCAATGTCTACTGCACCACCCTGATCTATTACTATGGTTACCCAATCAAAGAAGTCAATAAGATTAGTTTGGCATGATCTCCCTGAAGTAAACCCATGTTGTCTCTGATCTTGAAATCCATCCAACAATCATATTCTTTAACGTGGTTTCCATTACTTTCCCCACTACTGAAGTAAGGCTTACTGGCCTATGGTTGCCCGACTCCTCCCTACTACCTTTTTTGTGAATGGGCACAACATTCGCTAACTTCCAATCTCCTGTGACTACTCCTGTTAACAATGATTGGTTAAATAAATCTGTTAATGGTTTTTCTAGTACACCACTAAGCTCTTTTAATAACTTTGGGTGTATTCCATCAGGCCCCATTGACTTATTTGTCTTTACTTTTGACAATTGAAATAGAACCTCTTCCTCTGTAAACTCACGTGTAATAAATGACTCATTTATCCTTTTTCTCAACTGAGGTTCCTTTCCTTCATTTTCATCTGTAAATACAGAACAAAAATATTCATTGAGGCAGTCAGCTAGACCTTTATCCTCTTCTACATGCCTTCCTTCTTTTGTTTTTAATCTAACTAATCCTTGTTTTACTTTCCTTTTTTCATTTATGTATCTAAAAATGTTTTGTCCCCTTTTTTACTGACTGTGCTATTTTCTCTTCTTTGTGTGATTTGGAAGCTCTTATGACTTGCTTAGCCTCTTTCTGCCTAATCTTATAGATTCGTATTCTGTGTTCCTCACTCTGTGTTTTTTTTTATAATTAGTAAATGCTAACTTTTAGGTTTTTTTCCTATTTTGGCCACATCTGCAGAGTGCCACAGTGGTTTGTTAATTTTTTTGCTTTTACTGACAAGCCCAATGCAATTTTCTGTTGCCTTCAGCAGTGCAACTTTTAAATAATCCCACTTCTCTTGGCCTCCATTTAAACTGCTCCAGTCTGATAATGACAGTAGAGGCATGTGAAGTAAGTTCAGTAGGTGTACAAGGTATGTATATTTTATTTATACAGTGCTATCAGGTGTACTCAGCACTTTACAAGTTACATTGCAGTACAAGGATGTATAGTAAGGGCAGTAATTAATTAAAAATCACACAAATTACTCAGTATCATACAGGAATTACTTTATTGGCAAGACAGTAAAATATGGCGAATTGAAACATGTGCAATTCAGTTATCAATTAATCACAATTTTATGGATACCATGCCTCACCCTTCCTCCATTTCTGGTAACAAATGGCAGAATGCACAAGACGTTGGCAATAAAATACAGCCCCCTCCAGATGTTTCAAGGAGCAGAGCTCCCAAGATGTTCTGTAACCCTATGGGTGGGCGAGAATCGTAGAAAAAAATAGTCAGCATCTGGTGTGATTTGATTTTAACATTCCAGCGGTACCCTATGGTAATGTATCAGAAGAGTGGTTACTTAGCACTGCAGCAATTAATCTCTTTCTAGATGCACGCCTTGATCTTCCTTCTCCCGAGGTATGAAAGCTTACTTTAATGCAAAAATCTTAGCTATGAATTTCATCTTTATGTGCATTTCATAAAAGGGCCCTCTTGTGATGCTAATCCCTTCTGTCTGGGAATTTTGGATTTCTGATGTTGACATATAAAGGGTATTATATAATCTCTCCTCTCAGCAGTGAGAACGCATGACATTGCACTTGTAATATATAGTGTAAATAAAAAGGGGACGGGGGTCTTTTTCTCAAATTTCTGATTCTACAGCATAAAATTTGTTGGGTTGTTTTTATTTCCAGGCTAACTTACAGACCCAATAAAAGCCGTAGTGGTCTCTGACAGCAGGAGCTTGTGACAGTTCCGAGGCTTTGTAAGAAAGCAGCAACGTCACTTTAAGATCACATGGAAGTGAGTTTATCGATACAGAAGCATGAGGACAACATCCGCATACATCCCTGGGCACAGGATCTTCGCTGGTTTCTAAGCATTAATTAGTATCACAGGAAAAGATTGATAACATGTGTCGGGGTGATCATATGCTTTTCATTTTGCACCATACATGTAGCTCATAAAATATCCCGAACACTCTGCACACAGTACAACTTAGAAAAAGTACAGTTTCCAAACAAAATGGGTCATTCATAGATTCAATAATGCTACGGGCTGTGTGATGTCACTGTCAGTCCAAACTCACATGGGGATTAATTACTTCTGAAAGCAGCCGCTCATTTATGTATCTTGTGCATTGTTTGGTTTACTTTTACTTTAGTGAGTGATATTCACTTATTTAAAAATTTGCAGCATGTTACAGAGACGTTAACTAACCAAAATATATATATATAAAGTTGTACTCAAAAGTCACCCTGGCAGAAATTGTGAAATTTTGGCATTGATTTTGAAAATATGACTGATCATGCAAAAGAATGTATTTTATAGAAGGATAGTGATCACGTGAAGCCACTTATTATCAAATAGTTGTTTGGCTCCTTTTTAAATCATAATGATAACCAAAATTGCCCAAATGGCCCAGATCAAAAGTTTACATACCCTTGAATGTTTGGCCTTGTTACAAACAAACAAGGTGACTCACATGGGTTAAAATGGCAATTAAAGGTACATTTTCCACACCTATGGCTTTTTAAATTGCAATTAGTGTCTGTGTATAAATAGTCAATGAGTTTGTTAGCTCTCACATGGATGCACTGAGCAGGCTAGATACTGAGCTATGGGGAGCAGAAAAAACTTTATAAAGATTGAAAAGTATGGGACGCTCTTGGACTTTCCATCATGACAATGACCCTAAGCACAAGGCCAAGTTCACCCTCCAGTGGTTACAGCAGAAAAAGGTCAGTCTCCTGACCTTAATATCATCGAGCCACTCTAGGGAGATCTCAAACGTGTGGTTCATGCAAGATGACCAATGACTTTGCATGACCTGGAGGCATTTTGCTGAGACGACTGGGCAGCTATACCACCTGCAAAAATCAGGGACATCACAGACAACTATTACAAAAGACTGCACGCTACCATTGATGCTAAAGGGGGCAATACACAGTATTAAGAACTAAAGGTATGCAGACTTTTGAATAGGGGTCATTTGATTTTTTTCTTTGTTGCCATGTTTCGTTTTATAATTGTGCCATTCTGTTATAACCTATAGTTTAATATGAATCGCATAAGAAATAAAAGAAATGTGTTTTGCCTGCTCACTCATGTTTTCTTTAAAAATGGCACATATATTACCAATTCTCCAAGGGTATGCATACTTTGGAGCACAACTGAATATATATATATATAAAAATAAAGGCAGTATGCCTGGCGTTATGGGAGGGTTATTCTTTTGCTGGCCTCTACCTAAACCCCTCCCAGTTTCCTCCTGATGTTCTGCTGACATTTTGGAACCTTACCCACCTCTCCCTGATTTTACTCTTTCAATAGGTCTGCCCTCTTTTTTCTGGCCTACAGCATTTGTCGGTTTTGGCACACCACAACTAACTTGTGGTATAGCTCAAACCTTTTTATGATGCCTCAGCCTTTGACCCAGACTAGACCACAATATAATATATATAATAATGCACAACATATTGAGCTTGAGGACTGAAGCAAATTAAGGCTGCCAGTGGTCAGAAGAGCAGAATTAGAAATTAACAAAAGACCAACAATCCCAGTATTACTGCAAAATAAAAAATAGCTGAATTCAAGTTCGTGTTTCAATTTTAACAGAAAACTTTAATCAGGTCCTAAGCTGAATATATGTACCTATTTCTCTTTTTTTCATACATTTCTAGGAATGCTTTTCTTTACCATACTATGATTACCACAGCTCTAACCATTAAAGGGACAAGTTTGCACCATATAAAAGTGCACATTATTCCTCTTCCATTAAACGTTGTAGATGGCACTATGCAGTCAGGCTTGAAGAGTTGAGAAGTTGGCATCCTATTGCAGCCATTTTGAACGACACAGAGCTGCAGTACAGGGCATTCTATGGCTTGACTGATTTAATGGACCTGTCAAAAATGGGTAAGAGACATATTGCCACATCCACTAATTAAAATGGATGCCCACATGCCTTTTTATCTATGCAGTGTTACTTTGTTAATGTTAAAGGAAAATCCAGTCTTTCTCAAAGACAAGCATTTCTTTCTATAATATATATATATAATATTGACATGTTCATTGTGACTTTCAATATTATATGACATATCAATAGATGTAAATATACATTAATATTCCCCTGTTTGATGGCAGTGCTACATTTTCTTTTGTTATGATTACTATTACTATTATTGAAAAATGTATCAAGAAAAATAATTGAATAGGAAAATCCTGTCTTGCTGAAGAAGTTTAGGAGTCCACAGAAGGTCCCCTCTTTCATATTTTATAAAAGTCTCCTGGCTGTCAATTAGACAGGGTGCCTCTTCTCACTCTCTTGATCACTCACTGAAAGTGAGTCTGAGGGCATCGCTATAAGGTGCATTGAAATTGCGGCAATTGCATATGCAATAGGTTCCCAACGCTCTATGAAAAGATTTGGTTTGGACAAAGATCAACTATTCCATTTTGACAGCATAAACAGGTGTGTGGAACAAACATGAACTAGATGGACTTTTGTCTTCTTCAACCTATACTATTATGTAACTATAAATAGCAAACTATAGGCCATAGTCCAAACATAAGTCAACTAAATAGATATATTGAGTTGTGTTTCAAAGCTGCTGTATACAGCAAACACAAACTCCAAGGAATCCTTGTGTAAAATGGAATAATGAGGTAAGAATGTGATTCTTTGTTGAACTAATTTGCATATGTCCACCCAGAATCCATTGCAGTAGTAACAACACTGCAATTTTGTAATTTCTATGGGAAAAGCAAGTCTTATGGCTTGACGTATGTGCAGATATATGTTTAACATTGTATTGACTATCCACTGACTTCAGGTGCAAGGGGTTTTCAATCACAATTTTTCCCCACCATAACTTTCTTGGTGTGATAGGGAAGGGTTACATTTAGAGTCCCACACTGGCCCAACTTAAAAGGAATCCAGTAGTTAAAGTTAACAGAAAAGTACAACAATAACCAGCACATTACACAAAGAGGAGACAAGTTTATGTTAATCCTTTTAAAGGGATTATCTTGACAATGTTAGTAAACATTGTAACCTGAAGTTTAAGGTCACCGTGACGGGCCTGATCTCCACCTCCACGCTGATATCTTCTATTTTCAATCATGAATTATTTTCTTAACCACTATGTCCTAAGGGGTCATATATCATGTGGTGGAGCTGCTACAGGATGTTAGTGTGAACACTTCAATGATCAGAAAGAGCCAAGTCCCTCAACAATATAACAGCCAGCTGCCAAGTTTATGCTGGTGGAAATTTCAAACAATGGCTCTCACCTCGCCAAAGGTTTTAGAGATGTAGTGTCAGACAAGAGAAGGTTGCAGCTTCTTCAGCTTTCATTTCTTTTTTTCCAGCTGCTTGCAATTCCTAAACAGTGGGAGCTAAATATTTGTACAATGCTCTGTGTTTGTTTAATATCCTGTCCCCTCTTGTTAAAACGTGGCTATGTTTGAACCAGGTTACATCTGGGTTCCTTACTGGAAATAGCACACAAATGAGCACGTGTGGATTCAATTCTACGTTCTGCCGGAATCCTTCAATTAGGTATTAGCATTCATCCTTGGAGGAATACAGCAGGCTAATTAAACTCACATTCACAATATGAGTTGCGCCAAATTGACTCCCAAGCTGATAATTGTCGTATTGAAATTTGATAATTATCTTTCCAGCTATTTTCTAGAACAATTTATGGGAATAGTAAATTACATAGGGGACCCACCAGCCTTTTTCCTCCTTATCGTAAGCCAAACTACAAATAATTAGCTTAAAATATAACATCTGATGTGCTGGTACAGTTCTACAAACTGAGCTCATTTAATGTTCTGGGGCATGTGCTGCACTGTAAAAACTTATATAGGCAGTCAAACAATGCTAGGACACCTTCTCCATTAATATATTCTCCTTCCACAATTTCACCATCTGAGATTGGAATTTCTAACTTTATCATGCTCAAAACTCTGATCTACAGAGTGTGGCAGAGTGCCAGTAAAATCGAGAGAACTCAGTAGTATCTTAATGGAAATTGGCAATTGCCTGTATTCCGACAAGGTTCAATCCAGGGGAAAGCAAGTGTCTGCCAGGAGTTTCAAGCCTGGAGTTTTCAACCTGGAGTTTTTGCTAACTAACTTTTTAAATAACAAGTAGACTCCCCAACATGCTGTTTGGCATTATTATACAAATACTGTAACTCTGTTAGCTTATGGTAATACCGTATTGCCTTATACTTCCTGTTTACTTCTGACCTGAATGTAGTTCTATAGCCTAACATGGTTCCTCACAATAAAAGCTGGTAGTGTTGCCATTGCTATAACTGAAACACAACTCCTACAGAACATTGGATTGGGTATCTATTGAAAATGAATAGATGGGTTACCAACACATACATTATATTTTTCTGGTGTTCCATAAGTCTTAAATGTAGCAGTTTAGAAAAGAATGAGTATTATGTATCTGATAAACTAAGTTGAATATATTTAGACTAGGTATAGTACTATGTTCTAAAAAAAAAAAACATCATGAAATTGGGCATATACTCTGAATACCTTTTCCTTTTTGTTGGAATTAATTTTAACTGTTTTCATGGAACAATGCTTTGATTACCTACAATGCCTTATTGAATAAATATAAGGACCCAAAGGTTAAATGGTGTGAAATGGGCAGTAGTGAAAATGTTTAGCAGTGTCACAAGTCCATAATATCCCTGTGTCAGTAGGAACCAGTGAATGGATAACTTCTCATTTAAAAATTAAAAGTGATCATGGGACACAGCATGTTATATATCCAGTATGTCCTGATAGGATTAAGAGTCAGATCATATGTTATATCTCATAATGGTCTTTGGGTAAGTTCTCGTCCTATTATTTGAAGGGGATTAAAACACTTTGGTATTGATCACACCCTGAAAAGTGCATTGGAACATTACAATCTGAATTTGTGCTTTAAAGCGTCTTCCAACTTCTGGGGTCTTTGCATATGCTACAAAGGCGCCAACAATGACATCACTGCATGGTGTGTCACAGCCCAGGGGTGCAGCGAAGGTTTGTTCTATTTACCCTACAATGTCCCCCGTAACTGCTTCCACCTTTTTCAGTTCCTGGCATTTGATCTGCCAAGAGATCACGTCAGTACTGTACTTTCACACACATGCTATAGTACTACACTGATGTCTATGGAGGATCCATGACTGCCGGGGCCTCCAATTAGCAAAAATAATGCTTTATTCCCACAAATAAGGGAAGTGACCAAACTTGATGGCAGCAGCTCCCTACTTTGTTCCAACACAGTTTTCATGAGCATTTCATAGAGATGTTTTGATAAAAGAAAAAACTTGCTTTCTGTACATTTACTGTAAACACTAACATTACAGGTTGGCAAAATATCCTTTCACGTGGTGTATGAAGTAAAGACGATTTGTTATGCAAAAACTATGTAATGTCACAGTAAGGTTAAAAGCACACTGCAGGTACACTTGGAGTCAAGGCCAAAGGATATTGAAGCCATGGCCTCGGAGCAGCAGGCAGGAGAGGGTATCAATGTTGGTGGGGAGATCAAAGATGTCCCTCAACAGCTAGCCCATCCTCCTGCCGTGAGACCAAGCCAACAAGGAGATCTCCTGCAAGGCTGGTACTCAAATATAGATGAGATTTTATTGTTTGACAGCGTTTCCGCAGGCTACCTGTGCAATACTCTGATACAAATCACCTGGTTAGAAGGAGCTGTATGTGCCTTCTGTGGTGCAGACAGCAGCATCTCCCACCAGACCACCAGGGTTCAGGTTCCCTCCTCCTCAGCCCATAAAAAGCATCAGGGACACAGGAATACAATTTAGGTGTTTTTGTTTTAATTAAAAAAAAAAAAATTTAGGCTGCCATTGACAAACTCTACAGTCCCAGTCCTCTCATTAATGCCCCTACTACAGCCACTATAGCTCACCCACTACAGCCCCTGTCCTTCCACAATAGTCACTTCCCCCTCACTACAGCTCATATTTGCCCACTACAACCCCTGTCCTCCAACTACAGTCCCGGTACTCTCATTAAAGGCCCCTCTCCCCCACTACATCCCCTTTCCCCACCACTGCAGCCCCTATTTCCACCACAGCCCCTATCCCCACTATAGTTCCTAATACCACTACAGCCCCTGTCCTCCACCTACTCCCCCACTATGGCTACTACCCCCACCCCCACTCAGAGACCCTATCCCCACACCACAGCCCCCTTTCCTCCCACTACAGCCCCTATCCCTCCACCTACTCCCCACTATGGCTACTACCCTCCACTAGAGACCCTATCCCCACACCACAGCCCCTTTCCTCCTACTACAGCCCCTATCCTGCACCTACTCCCCACCCCCTCACACCCCTCTTTCCTCCACCTACTCCCCACTATGGCTACTACCCTCCCCACTCCCTCCTACAGACCTATCCCCACCCACAGCCCCTTTCCTCCCACTCAGCAGCCCCTATCCTCCACCTACTCCCCACTATGGCTACTACCCCCCACTAGAGACCCTATCCCCACACCACAGCCCCTTTCCTCCCACTACGCCCCTATCCTCCACCTACTCCCCCACTATGGTTTCTACCCCTCCCCACCCCCTACAGACCCTATCCCCCACACCACAGCCACTTTTCTCCACCTACTCCCCCACTATGGCTACTACCCCCTCCCCACCCCCTGCTACAGACCTTATCCCCCACACCACAACCCCTTTACTCCCACTGCAGCCCCTATCCTCCACCTACTCCCCAAATAACGCTACTACCTCCCCACCCCCACTTCAGACCCTATCCCCCACACCACAGCCCCTATCCTCCACCTACTCCCCCACTATCCTTCACCACAGACACTATCCCCGCCCCACAGCACCTGTCCTCCCACTAGAGCCCCTATCACCCACACCACAGCACCTGTCCTCCCACCATCAATTCTACATACTAAAAGGTGTCAATCAACATGATGAAATTTGTGTTCACTAAAACAGTAGATAATGACCCTACCTGGGCAGCAATTAACTCCTACCAAAATTGTTAATATTATGTTTGCCTATCCCTATATTTAATAAATAATGTGTCATTGAAGTTAGAAAAAATAAAATTTTAATTAAAAATCCCCACCTCATATTGCTGCAAATGGGCACCTCCATCTTAGCCCCTTGTCAATCACTGTTATTAGCTATGTCCTGTGCACCTGTCAGTCAGCACGAAGAAAACATTGACGAAAAAGAAGTAACAAAACAATGTTTCTATTTCTCCTCTTCACTGGCAATGTAAACCCTGGCTTTCCCTAGTCTGAACTGGATTATTATGTAATATGCTAAATGGAACAGAGAGAAAACTATAGCAAGAATTTGAGGCCAAAGTGTCCCTTTAACGAGTGTCCCATGCCGTTTAGGTATTTTGACTTTGTAATTAAATGCGTTAAAAAAAATCAAATAAATTCTCCTTTGCCTAGGAGGCTGGTGTAAAAATGTGTCTGTGTGTGTAACTGCTTCCAGAAAATGCTAATTCTCCTTTACTCTCCGAAAGCTCCCTAATGCATTCCTATGCACAATTCAATTTATTGGCCGCTTTTCAATTAGAAAATGGGTTACAACTGGTTGATGCTAATGCGGGCTTGTACTAACCAGCTGTTACACTGCATACAAGCTGCTATTGGCTCCTCTAAGTATGACAGACGTTTATGAATTAGATCTTTACATTTTCTCCTACAATGAAAATGTCACATAAAACAAATGAAAGTGGTTTAACCAGCTTCACAGATCTGGTCGTTTCACAAATACGCCCTGGTTTAATGCCTTCTCATCACCGCATGTTTCTTTCAAAGGGCCCTCCTCCGTCTCCGTGTCACTTTCCCGCATTGTTCTTCTTTTTGTCTTTGCATCTGTCTGGGATAAGTGAATTTAATGCTGTTAAGTCATTCGATACATTAGGCTAACCAGCTGTTTCTCGCAAATGGTGAACTTGGATGCTTATTACAAAAACAAAACACTCAGACAGAAGAGCCGTAAGTGCGCCTGGTGTGCAAATACTGTATATGTGATAACTTTATAAACTGGTAGAAAATGTATAGAAATAGCTTGTAAACTGAAAGCTCTAAGCCACCTTTACACGTCTTCAAAGAGGGAAAGAGTAAAATAATCAGCTTTATTTTTTTTGTGTTCACACAAGATTTTTTTTTATTTATATTCTTTTATGTTTTATTTTAAGTTTTTTTAAAACAGTAATTTTTTCCCCCATAGTAGGAAGCATGCTTCACCGTTTGGTATCTTTTATATCACATGATATTTTTAGATTAGCTTAACAGTGTTATTTACTGAAGTAGGAATTGTTGTGAATTCGAAGTGCATTTCAAATTTAAGTCCAAAATAGATGAAATGGAAAAATTGTCCAAGTCTGTGCGCTTCCGATTTGGCTATTTTGGTTTAAAAGTTGAAATTCACTTTGGATTCAATTTGTATTCATGACAATTATTGAGTAAACAAAAAGCTGTAATCCTAGCACTATAGCTGTCTATAGCCTCCCCCACACACACACTGTAAGGGTTAATAAACCTCTGGGGGTCAACATTCCGCTTCCTATGACATCATCCAATGGGGGTGGGTCTAATGCTCATGCGCGGTCATTACTGCAAGCGCGTTAGGCACTCTTGAGAGGAAAGCATTGCTGCAATGTTTTCCTGAGGGGTTGAGGATGTCCAGAACAGTTAGGTGACAAAAAGTCACCTAACAATCAGAAAGTGACTCTAGTGGCTGTCTGATTGCAGTACAGAACTATGGGTTTTACCATTGCCTGCATTGTGTGTGTGGGCTCACCAGGCAAGCTATGCATTGTGGGTTACAGGGGAACACAGGCATGACTTGCCTTACTGTGCAATCAGGGAATGATTTCAGAAAATCTGTCAGGCTAGAGCAGGTTATAGGCCTTGTGATGATGCAATCCATTGGTCGTCCGTAGCCCCGCCCCTTCACTCCGCTGTCGTGTTTTTCATTACTCCTGGCTCTCTTCCACCACTTCATGAAAACATGGCTGCACATTGCAGAGAAGAACGATTAAACAGTCTACCTCAACATATTTAGTCTACTGCTGGTGGTAAGAACAAGTTTGCATGAGAGCATGCAATGTGTGCTTGTGTCAGTGTGAGTGCTTGTGTCAATGTGTTCTTGAGACAGTGTGTGCTTGTGTCAATGTGTTCTTCTGTCTGTGTTTTTTGTCAGTGTGAGTGCTTGTGACAGTGTGTGCTTGTGTCAATGTGTTCTTCTGTCATTATGTGCTTGTGACAGTGTGTGCTTGTGGCAATATGATCTTGTGACAGTATGTGCTTGTGTAAATGTGTTATTGTGCCATTATGTGCTTATGTCAGTGTGTGTGCTTGCGTGAGAGAGTGCATGTCTGTGTCTTTGTGTCAGTGTGTGCTTGCATCAGTGAGTGCTTGTGTCATTGAGTGCTTGTGTCAGTGTGTGTCTGTGATGCACAATTCCATACGAACATTGGTTGGCATTAAGGAAATGGCCTTAATGCACCCTATCTGGGCAGCAAACAGGGCAAATCCGTCCCGGAGCATCCCAAGTGTAACTCCCACTAATATTAAATTGACTGGACATGTACATTATGGACCCCGGACTGCACAGAGGTGATCCATGCATTATTGCCTCGTCAATAACACACCAGTTAATATAACAAACACACACAGACACACATGTCAAAAAGCATGTTTCAATTCCTTAGTTCTTTCTTCCTTTCTTTCTCACTCTCCCCCTCTCTCCTTGGTATGTAGAAGTATTTGAGCTGCTGGTTAGCACAGAGATAAAAGATTTTAATGATAGATATGCATTCTCAAGTAAAGAATCTAGAAGGGTGTGATACATTTAAAGAGACATTTCCGGGTCGTTTGGCCAAGCCATGCTGCCATCAGGGTGTGTTAAAACCGCAGAACTTTCATTCAAGAAAATATTTGTACTGGAAGAATGAATTCCTTGGTCTTCTTTTTACATAGAGAAGCAACGTGTACCATTCAAGGACAGAGGAAGAACACGTGTTTTAAGGCAACTATCATTTGAAGATGCTGAGTGTAACTGTATGTGTTTAATAGTGTATCTGGCAACAATTGGACCTGGAATATGTGAGCCCGTTCCCTTTGAGACTGGATCTCAAAGAGGCCAAAAGTTATGTATTCTTGATTAATAAAAAGGTATAAAAGTTAGGAACATACACAATGAGTATGGACTTTGCCATAAACTATTACACATAAAGCAAAATGTATAATCACTTGGAGGATTACATCAATACTTCCTATCACAAATTCACTACCATTTAGAGTTGCTTGTGTATTCCAACTTGTATTTTCCTACATTAAATTTGATCTTCCATTTGAGTGCCCAGTGCTTAAATTTATCTAATTCCATCTGCAGAGTATCCCTGCCACTCTCAGATTTAGTACATCAGGAAGAATGCCTAGTGAAAGAAAATTTAAAAAAACCAGCTACAAGTGATTTGTAAATGTTAAGCATAACAAAAGTATTGTACGCACAAAGAATTCACAGCTCACATCTCAGCAGAAAATAACTTTCGGCTTTGACTGCATCATTTGTCCTTGAATAGAACTTGACTATTTATGCAGGACACCCTGCCAAGTCAATGCGTCTGGTGACAAAACAGAGAGAGTGTTATTTAAAAATTACACATCTGATTTCATTAATTACATCACCTTGAAGAGTTCCAGAATAGTGCAGAGTCATTGACCTTAACAAGTGACCTTACTGCACAGCCCGGATAAGCACTCGTGAGGTACATGGTAGATGTAACGGCCGGCAAATACGAGGGAAAAAAAAATCAGCCTTGTAAAAAATGCTTTTAGGAAATTCAAATGACACAGCGATGGTGGAAGGCATAGCCAGACTGGGAAAATCATTTTGGCAACAAACAGACAACAACGCAGAGATGATTCATAAGGATTTCTCTCATTAAAGCTTTGATCGACTTCAAATAAGTCACTCTGGCTACAAACATTCTACAGTAGAAAATACACTATAACCATATATGTCTCGAATATACAGTCTTGTGCATCTCTGGTTAATCATAATAGACTTTCTGTACTCGTACTGTACTAATTGAACTGAAAAAAAAATACAATAAAAATATAACTTGGAAAAATAATTTGTTCGTTCAGGAAATGAACTGTGGGTTTAGCAAGAACGAGCAACAAGGAACAGCAAATTAATGATGTCATTCTAGTTCCTTTTACTTCAAAGTCAGACTATTAGATTTATAAAGTAATTGGCCGAGGGCCTTGGGATAAGCTGTATAACAGTAGAGAGCTTAGTCCCTTCCTGAATAATTGGCCATGGTAATGTTACGTTCAGTATGTACCATCTCTGACTGGCTCTGTAAATAGGTGAGATGGGAAAAATGGTGAAGGTTTTCATCCAGTTCCATGCTGAGGATCCGTGTCACAACTCCCAAAACTTCAAATAGACTTAGAGGGACTCTTAAATTTTAGGGGTCTGAGTGGGGGGGTGAGGCCAAGGGAAGGGATGTTCTGAGAGATTTTAATAACAATTTGTGCAAATAAAATGTTATTTAGAACAATGTATTTTATTTACACAGACTGTTTTACAAACACATCTATTGTAGTCTAAAGACACATTACTGGGAGTATTATTGCTGTGGAGCTCTGTTATACACTCAGACAAATTACTGGGAGTATTATTGCTGTGGAGCTCTGTTATACACTCAGACACATTATTGGGAGTATTATTGCGGTGGAGCTCTGTTATACACTCAGACACATTACTGGGAGTATTATTGCAGTGGAGCTCTGTTATACACTCAGACACATTACTGGGAGTATTATTGCAGTGGAGCTCTGTTATACACTCAGACACATTACTGGGAATATTATTGCAGTGGAGCTCTGTTATACACTCAGACACATTACTGGAAGTATTATTGCTGTGGAGCTCTGTTATACACTCAGACACATTACTGGGAGTATTATTGCTGTTATACACCCAGACAAATTACTGTGAGTATTATTGCTGTGGGGCTCTGTTATACACTCAGACACATTACTGGGAGTATTTTTGCAGTGGAGCTCTGTTATACACCCAGACACATTACTGGGAGTATTATTGCAGTGGAGCTCTGTTATATACTCAGACACATTACTGGGAGTATCATTGCTGTGGAGCTCTGTTATACACTCAGACACATTACTGGGAGTATCATTGCTGTGGAGTTCTGTTATACACTCAGACACATTACTGGGAGTATCATTGCTGTGGAGCTCTGTTATACACTCAGACACATTACTGGGAGTATCATTGCTGTGGAGTTCTGTTATACACTCAGACACATTACTGGGAGTATTATTGCTGTGGAGCTCTGTTATACACTCAGACACATTACTGGGAGTATTATTGCAGTGGAGTTCTGTTATACACTCAGACACATTACTGGGAGTATTATTGCAGTGGAGCTCTGTTATACACTCAGACACATTACTGGGAGTATTATTGCTGTGGAGCTCTGTTATACACTCAGACACATTACTGGGAGTATTATTGCTGTGGAGCTCTGTTATACACTCAGACACATTACTGGGAGTATTATTGCTGTGGAGCTCTGTTATACACTCAGACACATTACTGGGAGTATTATTGCTGTGGAGTTCTGTTATACACTCAGACACATTACTGGGAGTATTATTGCTGTGGAGCTCTGTTATACACTCAGACACATTACTGGGAGTATTATTGCTGTGGAGCTCTGTTATACACTCAGACACATTACTGGGAGTATTATTGCTGTGGAGTTCTGTTATACACTCAGGCACATTACTGGGAGTATTATTGCTGTGGAGTTCTGTTATACACTCAGACACATTACTGGGAGTGTTATTGCTGTGGAGTTCTGTTATACACTCAGAAATTAGTTTAGAAAAGTGAGACAGAAAATAAAACAACCTATATGTATATATTTTTTGCAGTTGTAATCAAAATTATTCAGCCTCCTTTTGAAAATCAGGTTTATTGTCAAAATGTACAGACTTTCAGCTGTTTGCAATAAACAAATCAAATTGTTCTTTGGCAAAATCGAAGTTTCTTGCCATGCACAAGGTTAGTGTACGGGATGTTACTGGGCACCTGACGTCATCTTATATCCAATATATTTATTAAGAACATAAAGTTTGCTGCACACAGGTTTCAATAAAGTTATCAATGTTCACAATAATTGTCAACTAATCCGAAAACCAGACGGCCATTAGGAATAACACGTCTTCACCCAAACAACTGACACAAACTTTGAAAGGAGCAAATAGTAAAGTACATTGTCCTTAAATATACACAGTAGAACGCAGTATTCTGAATAAAGACACACTATGCACACTACTTTGGTGTATAAACATAGACCTTAAATGTTTGTTTATTACTATTAAGGAAAAAAAATATATAAAAATATTTCTGGAATGCCAAACAGTCCTTGAAAGAAAACCTTGCTCTACAGACATCCTTCAGTGCTGAAAAATGTCAAGTCATACCCTGAAACATGCTAATTCATAACCTTTTTTCATTCGCTTGACTTACATGCTTCCTTTGAACGCTATGTACCAAGAGGCATCACAGACTTACACAGGTGACACATCACCTGACAGGTTTATTAAAGGCCTCTCTGTTTAGAATGTTACCAGGAATTACTGCAAATTCATTAGATTTTGCTCAGGATGATATCATCATTTGCTTAGATGCCGAAACGCCCCAAATCTGCCAGAACGGTCCCACATTTTGGGGTACTGTCACTGCATTTTGAAATCTGCCAGCAGTTGTACAAGTGCAGGAAGGGATTGGGCAGTAGAATCAGGCACTGAACGCTCCAGCGATGACTCTGGGCAGAGTCTGCTTGAGATGTCAGGCTTTTCATGGGTGCCCCCCTTGGTGGGTAGGCCAGCCCCAAACACAGTGCTCTGTTCAGCTTGAACTTCCACAAGCTAAGCAGTGAAGTTTAGCAGCTATGTGATATGTGATGCTTTATCTAAACCATACAAAAAAACAAAACATGTTTTAGTAATGGAGTTTTTACTTATTACTGCAAAATATGAAGAAGAACTGCTTCAAGCATGCCTCTATTCTGCCCCTTATTTAATCTCCATAAACCTCGAGTTAGTACACTTTGCTAGACTAGATCCTGGCTTCTTTGCTAGACATCTTCATCACCAACCTGCATCTCCTTTGGGCTGCTAGGCTTCTCTCTTCAAAACTTTACTGTACCTCTCTATAACTGATGTGTTTGTATTTTTCTTCTCTTAGATGTCAATGTGACACTGTTCTCGACATCTCCATAACCATCATGCCTTCCTTCATACACATTTTTGTTAGTCACTCCTTGGTTTAGGTAGAGGTGCAGAAAACTAATGAAGGGACAAGCTATTTACTTTACCATCACCTTATCTCATAACCCAATAGCTCTTCAAACTTCCTACTTTAACGCAAATCTTTAACTCTAGCTAGTGACACATCGTCTTCTTTTCGTTCATCAACTGGGTTTCTTTGGAGAATGATTTTTTTCATCTTGGCCTTCATAAATCTGGACTCCATGACTCTTGGTGATTCTGTTTTTCTTGTACGCCTCTTCCAATCAAAAAAAGCAAAATGTTACTAGTCCATATAACCATTTCTAAATATAAAAGGACTGGACCCTTCCAACAACATTAACATGAAAAGACAAAATGGTTTAGCTGAGATTTTCATCCAACAAAAGTATTTGTGTTTTATTTTTTATAAAAAACGGCTCCTGATGTCATAATCATCACTGAACCCTTCCTTTCGATGACCCTCTGCCTCTTACCAATGTCTCCTCTATCTTCTAGCATTGTTCTCAAACCTTTCCATTTTGTAAACCATATACTGGTATCCTGTATTAATTAGAATACATTTTAAAGTTCCAGTTCTCATCTTCAGAATTCTCCAAATATTTATCTCAATATATATTTTGTCTTAAATCATAAAATGCATCTTGGTCGCAACATTCTGTCAGCCTTGACCTTCTTCTGTTCCCTGTTCACATTCACACCCCTTCTCTTCCCAAATCTTTCTTCATCTCCAAATCCGATCTTCTGTTAGTCTCTTGGTCTAAATATTTAATCTACTAACCTCCTTAGCTATTGTCTTCTCAAACTCTCCATTCCTTGTTCTTCTGAACTTTGACATAATCCACCACACCTCCACACATCTTTTTTGGTCAGTCTTTATAATATCTTTAATGAATCTTTTCATAGCACACCTGCCTCTATCAGCCAGGCCTCAATGTCTCTTCTTGATATTTTTGCAGCAAGTATTGTTATCCTTCGATAGAAATAAAACTACTGTAAAGACAGGTGATACATGTCTTATTATTTGGTGTTTGAAACCTAAGCCTCAATTAGTCACCAAAACTGGTAAAGCTTGGACACGGATGATATAACTAGAATGAATAACTCAGCTGCTGGTACGTTCAAATCAATATACTGTATGTATAGATAAAAACAAAAAAAACAAAGCTAAGCACTGCTTTGATATATGAGATTAAAGAGTACAGTAAAGTGTGTAGGAGTTTGGGAATAATGACAAAGTCTTTCATCAGTAAAACCTAAATTACCCACTCCACACACACAAGCCTATCATCTCCTCTGCGGTGTACAGCTACTTATTACAAAGATGCCCTTACCGTAATCTGACTTTCAGGGAAACGAGAGAAGCCAGCATTGCTTTTCAAACATTTTATTTTCTGGACTCTCTGGGGAGAGATCAGCTGTCGGAAACACATGCCTAACTATAGAATAAAAAAAAATAAAAAAAACTGAAGAAAAAAACACATAAGTGAGTTCAATGACCATCTGCCGGAGAAGGCTGAGTAATAATATCTAATGAGAACTCCAGCCTGACCCACCAGACTGCTGATTTTTAATTTGGCCGCTGTCGGGAAGTGGAGTCTGCCAGCAACCAATTTAACATAGAGCTGTATTTTCGAGGCTATGGCCAATAACACAAACTGAGATTTAAAAAACCCACAACTGATTTCCTTAAAGCCAAGCCTCCTACTTGTATCTCAAGGGCACATTCCTTCTCCATAGTCAGCTGCACATGTTAACTAGGAAACAGACAATGCAAGCACACATACACATTATGTTTCCATTTACATAACCAGGCGTAAGTTCCTTCCCCTGCTTCCACCAGACATTTTAATCAGTTTCCACAGCAATTCTGACCTTAGTGAAGTCACTATCTTTTTCGTGAAACCGAGAAGAAAATACATATCTTCCGGATGTGGATTTTCTTTTTTTCTCTAACAGAAAAACTGCATATGGAGAGGAAAACAGTAAATCGAGGATTCCTTGCTTTCTTTTCCCTCTTATTGATGCAAAACTATCAAAAGGAGTCATGTGGTCAGTGGAAGGTCCACTGTTAGATGTCAGTGGAAAAGTCTGTAGATAGCAGGTCAGAATTCTGTCAAACTGTCAGTCCATGTTCAAATTGCAACTTGTTTTATTAATTAAGGTTGACCCAATCCAGACCACATGGAGCCAGTCATTTATATCTAGGTGATACCAGTATCCTCTGGAGCCAGCTTATCTCAAGAAGGTTAAGATCTTGTTGTGGCACTCTGAGTATCAGCCGAGGATGACAGATGGTACAGTGGGCAGTGTGTGTCCATGTGAGTACAATAAAGTATATTCCAGTCTTGAAAAGTATTTCTATACATTCTCCAAGATCACTTGTGGCAAAGTAGGTTTAGCTGTTTTATTTATAAGAATGTATAACGCAAACAGGTAAGGGTTTGACGTCATAAGAAGAGGGGAACATATGCAGGTGATATACTGGCTATTGCTACTAATTTACAGAGGAGACATAAGCCATTCCTGTCTCTTGTCCCTACTCCTTCCTTTCTCTTGATACTGGGCCCAGCATCCTATTCCTAGTCTATCTGACCAGACTGAGTGGAACAAGCACTGGCCAAGAAATTGGTCAGTGAATCCCTTATAAATGCTTATTGTAACTGGAAGTAGTCACAATGAGAATGGCTAAGACAAGTGGGTTTGGATCTAAAGGCTTGACCTGCAGGCATCGTACTAAAATGGTGTGACATCTTGCCGTGAGAGGGCACTAGGGCACTGTTATTACCATAACCACTAGGCTCATCTCCAGCCTATATCCTGATGGTTGCAACATCTGTAAATACATATCTATGAACATTGCTTCAGATCATAAACAAGGAAAGAAAACGGTTTGTTTAAAACTCTATTGAGGAAACAAATAAAATATTTATAGAAGACCTCAGTCCTTGATAAACAACACTGCTTTAGAGATATCCTTCAAAAGTCTGTATTTCAAAACTGTCCTTCAGAAAAATCAAGGTTGCATACAGTCAATATAACGGCCACACAATGTCTCTGTTTGGATGTTGGAAGATGATTCATAGCTGGTTAATGCGCAGTTAATGTTCAATACAATATTTCGCATTCTTAGATTACTAGTAGTGTTATTGCTTTCATTCAGAGCTCTGCCATAAATAAATCGCTAAAGAGCTATTTTCTGACAACAACATCCAGTAGGACTATATTCATTGTGGCACCATTCATTACAAGGACACTTTACAGTTCTCTTGGACCTTGGACATGTTATCCAAGCTGTTCAGACAGTTTTAAATATATTACACAAGAAAAAAACAAACCAAAAGAAGACCAAAAGAAACTGAAAATAAAATAAAAAATAAAATAAAATACAGCAATTCTTGTAGAAAGTTTTATGTTTTCTTGTGCAACATTACTGACAGTGTTGGAACGCTTTATACTTTACTCATAATGTGACGAGTTAGTAATATCAGGACTAGGAATCCTCACTTAAGGCACAGAAGGTTTCCTAAGATAAAGTTCATGCAAACACTGATACTGTAACCTCCAACATGAAGGCGCCAAAATACACTGGTTGGGGAGTTGCCTCTACCTCCAGGTTGGATGTTGGTCTCTGTTATTGGAAGTGTGATGCAAGAATCATGTGGGAGATGGGTGATTTTATAATAGGAATGTTAAAGGTGACCTGTTTCATCTCTGGAAATTAGAACATTGAATAAACCAATGGAAATCACCTATAACTTGTGTTGACCTCTATCTCCTGTGATGCTCCATTTCTTTAAATTTACATATAAGACATAGCAACTGACATCACAATCCAGTTTAGTCCTGGGACAGTCAGGGCACACGTTGCATTAGAGGAGGAGAAATGGAAACACTCTTTGTCCTCTCTAGACTTTCGCTGCGTTGACTGACAGGTGCAGTGGGCTGAGCTTGTAACAGCTATTGATGGGCAGCCAATACATCAGGGTGGATTTTTATATTTAACTTTATTGTTCAGACCTCAAACACACTTATCATTTTAAATATAGAAAATAAGTGGACCTAATATTAAAATTCCGGGGAGGTGACTATTCCACTTTAATTATGCATCAACATAACCCAATATCGTTCTTGTCACCATTAAATGACAGCTCAGCGTGCATTTTGAAATGTGATTTCTGTCTTACATTGCTTGCACCCTTCTATCTTGCTCCTGGCAACATACCTTTGGTTCTGACAGCTAACCTTGCATAGACACACACACAAGCAAGCACGCGCACACACAAACACACCCTGATGTTGCTCTTTTCTGCATACTAACACTGACCCACGCACATGCATACTTACATCCCTGACACCCTTCTCGTATCCTTATACAAACAATGACCCTTATACATTCATGCTTACACACACCATTATATATGCATTGATAGACATGTGCAACATCATACACTCATACATATTTAATGAATAAAGCTATACAAGGTTGGGCACATCTGATGTTCTCTCATAGCTACTTATCCCACAAAGAATTGTACTACATGGATACTCCATCCAAGTACTTGTATGGACAGAGGATGTATCGATCCCCACATTATGTCATTGGAAGGCTAATAGCTGATTGTTGGCCATTGCTGCAGCTATAACGTGAAACAATAGGGTCACAGATCACTTTGTCTCAATTAAGTAGTCTGGGTGCAGTTCTCCAGTCATTGTAATCCTGCAAAGACACCTATAGTAGCTGTCTTCCAAACAGTCACTAGAGGCAATTCTACTGCAATAACAGAGTCACGCTTGCCTCTTGAAACTAATGCATCTCACAGAAAGCACTTTATTAGATAAGCATGGAGTTTTGCTGCACATGCATATCTCTTCCCAAATGCTGCTCTGTGAGAAGCATTGAATTGGATGAGTACAAGGATGACGTCAGTAAACTCGCTGACATGTAGAAGGGGATAGGGCAGCTGCAGCAGCGGTGTCTCGGTGCTGCAAAAGAGGTGAGGAAAACGTAGTTAGCTTAACGTTTTACACATCAAGAATGGGTGGACAGAGGTCACGTAACTTGAAGAGAACTTACAGTCCTGAAAAAAGATGATTATTTTCAGTACTACTGGCTCCCTTGAAGTAACAGAATGCCGGAGTCATGGACAGGATGTGGATATTGTACCTGGAATGTTCCTTTAAGACTTGATCTCTGATCAGACATTTTCAAAGTCAAAATTCTAATTCTATTAGGGTGATATCAGGCAATTCAAAAATCATAGAAGCATGAAAAGCACCATATTTTGTGAAGAGACAAAACAAGCTTGTATTGGAATCCAAATCCTCTTCTGAACACAGGAATCAATGAGCATCGCCGGAATCCCCATCCCATTTCAATCCGCATTGAATAATGATTTCCTATGGGGAGGTGTAATGCGCACACAAGGCCATTGCCGCGCATGCGCCTTAGGTCTTCAGGTAAGTGGTAAGATTCAGGTAAGTGTCTGAAGGGATTTTAACCCCTTCAGCAACGTGGGATGGGGGGTGGGAGGGAGAATCCAATACAATAGAGCACTGGGTTGGCTTCTGCAGAAATGTTTTAATTTTTTATTTTAAATGACACATGATCTGCAGTTTTGCTGGAAAAGAAAGGGGGAAAAATCAGAAACTGGGCAGAACGTCTGCAGGAAAATGAAGAAAAATACTACAGGGGCTGAATTTTTTTATTTTTTTTACTTTTTGAACTACAATAAGTAAAATAAAAATGCAACTGTGCTTTTGTCAAAAAAAAAAAAGGAGAAAGAACTTCCATAGAATTAAAAAAAAGGAAAAAACACATTTATCGACCACATAAATTCCTCAAAAAGCACTCACAGACCTTGGCTTTACCGCACTAGGATACACATTCCACAACACTGAGGCAGCGATTAACTTCAGATCAAAAATTCCAAAGGTATCAACAGTCATATAGTAACAGAAATGGAATTTCCTTCTTAGTCACCCAGAGTAACGGGACCAGCATGAGAACACTGCATCGAGTTACAGAATGGTGACTTAGCCCTTCGAGAAGAGAAAACTCTTTTTGTGTTCAGTTGTCTTCACAAACACTGGCATGTGTGCATACATAAACATTTGGTTATTCATATCCTCTATGGCTTAGAACGTTTGAAGTTGAAATGGTTTCATTCAAGTTTTTGCTTTTATTTAATACCAAGCAAAAGCATTCACAAAAAAAAGCAAACCATGAGAGTCTTTAAGATGTGACCTTTACACATTAACACTTAGTCATTCTACTTAAAGGCACACTCCAAGCATCGTAATAGTGTATAGCCACAAATTAAAATACTGTCACTGTCTCTCTGAAAAGAGTTTTTTTGGGGGTTTTTTTATAATGAAAGACACAATATGCTAAAATTGCTGCAGGTGTAATCCCAGACCATCAAACAGATGCATTATGTGCTTCCCTGAACACACAAGTGCGTGTGTGTTGTACGTCCACAGCTCCCAACAGTTTGGACGGCAGATCAGCATCAGAGATGTTTTATCATAAATGGAATCACCTCTTAGTGCTGAACTGCATATCCTATAAACCCTAAAGAGCAGGTGTTTATGGGATGTAAACAGCACACTCATTGAGAAAGAAGAGATTGGGTAGGATTGGCTGACAGGTGTACTTCATTGGCTACTTTGTTGTCCGAGCAGAGTTCACTCAACGTAGACACTTCAAAGGCTAGCATATTTTTTATAGTTTACATATATTTTTGTATCTATATATTTTATGTGTTATCTACACTAATCAGCAACAACATTAAAACCACCTGTTAAATATCATGAAGGTTGTTCCACCACATTCCACAGATGCTAATTCAGATTAAGATCTGGGGAATTTGGAGGGCAAGTCCCTTGGACTCCTTGTCATGTTCCTCAAACTATTCCTGTATAATTTATGCAGTGTTGCAGGTTGCATTATCCTGCTGAGAAGAGGCCACTGCCATAAGGGAAAACCATTTACATGAAGGGGTGTACGTGGTTTGCCACATCTCTAGGTAGGTGGTACGTGTCAAAGTAATATCCACATGATTGCCAGGACTTGCAGGATTGCAAGGTTTCCAAGCAGAACATTGCCCAGAATATAACACTGCCTCTGCCAGCCTGTCTTCTTCCCATTGTGCATCCTACTGCCATCTCTTCCCCAGTTAAACGATACACACGCACCTGGCCACCCACCTGATCTAAAATAAAACATGATTCATCAGACCAGTAAACATTCTTCCATTACTCCATGGTCTAGTTCTGATGCTCACGTCCACATTGAGGTCATCATAGGCACTCTGACCAGTCACACGCAGCAAACTGAGATGCGTGACACCTTTCTATCTATTTAAGCTCTACTGTGTGATCAAACTAAACAGGCTATGCTTTGTTCCCCACGTGCATCAATGAGCCTTGGGTGGTTGTCCTTCCTTGCACCACTTTCGATAGGTACTGACCATTGCAAACTTGTTAGACTTGTATGTTGGAGATGATCATCACTATTATGTCCTTGTTAAACTCACACAGATCTTTTCGCTACCCTATTTTCTTGCTTCCAACATATGAAATTCAAGAACTGACTGTTTACTTGCTGCCTAATATATTCCCCCCATGACAGGTGCGATTGTAATTACATAATCAATGTCATTCATTTAACCTGTTAGCGGTTTTAATGTTGTGACTGATTAGTGTATATAATGCATTAAAAAAATGTGGTCCCTAATTAATTGCAATATAAGTTAAAAAATGTAACCCATAATATGCTATATTTACCACTAGACATATCACCTCTTTATTCAAACTGCTCTTTTTGGAAACCCTCACAACTTTCTCTACATGTTGAGACCTATATTACAAGGTTCTGCTCTTCCTCTAAGGGACAATGATGAGAATTACATTTGGTAACAAATGGCTTTATGTAGGTATAGACTTGTTTCCCCCCCAATAAAAATGCAGCATATGAACCATGGTTTACTAGAGTCTAGCACACCTGAACAAGCAACTTATGAGTTTCAAGTACAAGACATTTCTTAAAACATGCTCTATTGTGCATGTATTGAATAGCCTCTATTTGTTACTACTGAGGAAGCAATTGAAACCATGCAAAAGTGTGTGCCTTTCACATGTATATGAGCAGCGTAATGGTGCTCTCTCTCTGAAATGAAAAGGTGTTTAGCGATTCGCTAAACCAGTCATTGAACTTAAATTGTAAGTTCTTTTTAACGAGCATAACATTTTATCCGTCCATTGTGATAGGTTTGCTAGCAAATATACAGATTGGGAGGAAAATCTATTTTTTTAATCAATATGTTGAAAAATTGGTGGACAAGGGACATCAGTAAAGACTTCCCACAGGTGGTCCTTCTGCTCCCTATACATAGCAACCACAGCACAAAGCTGTTGCTAAGGCACCAGGAGCTGAAGAGGACCCACCAGAAGAAGATGTCCACGCCAATGAGGAACAGATAAGTATAAATAGAACTCACTTTTGCCACTGCTGTACTCTTGCACACTTTCTTATTTTACTTTCCCTCAGTATACTCCTTCAGGCCTGATAAATATTTCTCGAAGTAAGCACCCAATTGATAAATGAAGAATTTTGGGAACATTCAGTAAGTAGATCAATAAACATTTAGATAGTTTTAAGTGCTGTTCTTATAATGGATTGAGAATAACAGGCCAACTTTAAAGGAACACTATAGTCACCTAAATTACTTTAGCTAAATAAAGCAGTTTTAGTGTATATATCATTCCCCTGCAATTTCACTACTCAATTCACTGCCATTTAGGAATTAAATCACTTTGTTTCTGTTTATGCAGCCCTAGCCACACCTCCCCTGGCTATGATTGACAGAGCCTGCATGGAAAAAAAAATGGTTTCACTTTCAAACAGATGTAATTTACCTTAAATAATTGTATCTCAATCTCCAAATTGAACTTTAATCACATACAGGAGGCTCTTGCAGGGTCTAGCATGCTATTAACATAGCAGGGGATAAGAAAATCTTAATTAAACAGAACTTGCAATAAAGAAAGCCTAAATAGGGCTCTCTTTACAGGAAGTGTTTATGGAAGGCTGTGCAAGTCACATGCAGGGAGGTGTGACTAGGGTTCATAAACAAAGGGATTTAACTCCTAAATAGCAGAGGATTGAGCAGTGAGGCTGCAGGCGCATGTTCTATACACCAAAACTGCTTCATTAAGCTAAAGTTGTTCAGGTGACTATAGTGTCCCTTTAAACTTGAATCATATGCATCCTATCATGAATCCTAAACCTTGTTAAAAAAAATAACACTCAAGTTAAATTTAAATCATTTCCTTGTAAAGTTACAGTGTTTTGTTAGCTAAATATTCTGCTGCAAGTATCACCTTGTCTTGACCTGCTGCACGTTGCTAAATTTCTAAAATGAGGCCCACGCACCTCACTCATAACTTACACTCACTCATTTCATATACTGAGACTAAGGGACACTTCTTAAAATGGCACTCTCTCCCTCTTCAAACATTTGTATTTCAGAAATCTAGAATCCTTATGAAATGCTAACATTGTGTTTAAATTTCACTGAAATTCCAACCCAGTCAAGAGATATACTGAAGGGACTACTTTGCCTCTTCATGTCTCCTCCACCTGAGATGGTGGAGCTACCACCATCTAGAAGTGAAGGCTGCAGGAAATTTGCCCTGTCCGCAGAGGATCCCGCAGTCTTGTGGGATCTTCCATAGACCTTAATTAACGCTGTACTCTTCAGAAGTGACGTCGGCTCCTGGTGCTGAAGCACCAGGTGCAGAAGAGGACTCGCTGGAAGAAGATGGCCTCACTCACAAAGATGGCGCTGAGGCACCAGGGGCTGAAGAGGACCCAAGAAATGGCCATATCGGTGAGGGACAGGTTCAGGTAAGTAGTACTCAGCTTTCCTCCCTACCCCCGGCCACCGGGCAATTTCTACAAAGTCCCCAAATTATGACAGTGCTGTTTTAAATGTTCATCTGCCATAAATTAAATAGTTAGCGGAGGGCACACCATTCATTCTGGAAAAATCCCACTTACTCAAACCATTTACGGTGCAGATATTCTGACAATTTACATAACAGATTAGAAGGTATTTCATTGAGTCACACAAATCTATTCCCAGACACATTCTCAATGGAAATATTCATAAGCAGACATATATGTAGACACATATTCACCAAATGATTTGACAAAATAGCAGAATATATAATGGCTATACAGTTTAGAGCAGTGCACTTATTGTATATGCAGCTTAGAACAGAACAGTTTCTGTATATTCAGCGTGGAACAGAATGCGTACTGTACGGCATAAATGGTTTAATGAGAAATATATATATATATATATATATATACACTAATAGTGAATGGAACTTTCTTTAACAAGCACTAGATAATTATAGGCAATCCAGCGTGTTCCACCTAATCATTACTGCTATCGTACACATTAATTGTGGTGAGAGAAAGTTAACGTAATGCTCGAGGGAAGGATTGAATCTGGGTGTCTAGGCAGGGCTGTAAAGCAGGTTCATAGCAGGAATGTTTATATAATAGAAGAGTAGGACATTTACTAGAAAAGGGCTGAATGCAACTTAAATAACATAAAAAGTGAAGTGAAAGTGCCGAACTGTAGCTCCAGCTGTTTGGGGACTACACGCCCTATAATTGTCTGACAGCTATACCCAGGATAAGGATTTGGGAAGTTGTAGTTTCGATAATATCTGGGGTGCAGTTTAAATGATTCTGAGCTATGTTATCTGTCTACACACGGATAACACCTGAACTGTGGGAATTTAAAGGGCTTTCCAGAAAGTAGCGTTAACTATTATAGATGTTATAGCTCTGGCCTAAATAATATCGGAGTTTTAAAATGCACATAAAATATCTTCTGCAACATTATGTAACTTAATTTACTCTGCCCCTCCTCTTTAATTCTAAGATATTTTCTTGTTGTTGATTCCTAAACAGCAGTACAGCAGTACAGCAGTACCATAAGTCTACTCGTTCTGTATCTCCCTTCCTAAAGGTATTTCTCCAATAAAATAGATGTGCATGTTTTCGGGAAGAACATTTATCATAGTTGCAATTAAGTTAACACCTTAAAGGACCACCATAGGCACCCAGACAACTTCAGCTCAATGAAGTGTTCTGGGTGCCAGGTCCCTCTAGGGATAACCCTGCAGCTGTAAACATAGCAGTTTCAGAGAAACTGCTATATTTACAATAGGGTTAATCCAACCTCTAGTGGTTGTCGCACTGACAGCCGCTAGAGGCGCTTCTCACTGTGAAAATCACAGTGAGAATACGCTGATGTTTTCTACAGACTGATTGAATGCACGTGCGGCTCTTGCCGCGAATGCGCATTCAATGCTGACGTCAAAAGAGAGAGGAGAGATGTCCAGCGCAGAGGGGGTCCGGAGAAAGGTAAGTGTTTAACCTCTTCAGCCCCCATCAGCCCAGCAGGAGGGGGGCCATGAGGGTGGGGGGGACCCAAAGACCATATAGTGCCAGGGAAACATAAGTTTCCAATGCTGATAAAGGAACTAACAAAAATCCCTATTCTGATAAGAACTGAGGTTGTGCACAGAGGGCGTTGAAATCTGCTAGTTAGCAGTTTGACAGATTTACAGGTGTGAATTATCTCACTAGGACCCCTCCAGATGTTGTGGACTACGTCTCCCATAAACCTCTTACAGCCATAATACTGGCAAAGCATTAGGAAAGATGTAGTCCAAAACATCTGGAGTGCCAAAGATTGCCCTAACGATCTGAAGTGTGGGGATTTACAAATACAGCAACTTGAAATGTATTTGTAAATGTATTTCTAGAATTTTGCATTAGTTCTTTTTACATACATATATTTTAAATTCATTATCCATGTAAAAACATTTAAAAACAATAAGTCAATCCCAGCCTATAAACCTCTTTAAACATGGGTGGTATGTACAGTATACAGAACAAGTAACTCATAATGAATGCATTATTACTGGGTACATAGTAACAATTTTATACTAGATATTAGAGAAACTGGTTGGCATGACAGGCAGTAATCTCAATTTATAGCTGATATTTTTATATTTATTTATAAAATATTTTACCAGGAAGGATACATTGAGATTTCTCTCATTTTCAAGTATGTCCTGGGTGATATTTAACAAGCTGTGAAATTAGATGGATATTAATTTTATATGTGATCCTAACAGGGGCAATCTAAGCCCCATAAGCATTGCAACTTAGGGTATGGGTTATAATGCAAAGCAATTGTGATTCCTTTTCATAGTTTTTAGTTAATGCATTGTCGGTAGAGCGGGAGGGGGGGGTGCAAGGAAAAGCCCAATTGTTTTAGCTAAGTGTTTCAAAATGGTCTGAAAAAGCACATCCATTTATTCTTTGCACCATCACCACTATAGGTGTGTGTACTATTTCTCTACAAACTCTGCACTGGGTCCATGTGATGGATAATGCAGAGATTAATGAACAACATTAGTAACAACAACCTTTGTATTATCATCCCCGGTGCAAAGCAACACACTGGCTGTCCCCATCCCCCCCAAATGGTACAGCCATTCATAAAAATGGTCACATTTTAGGAAGGAACGGCTTTGACAGGCACACCCAAACTGATTGAGTAACAGGTTCCCTGGGCCCCTCTAGTATTCTTCCAATTTAGAGGTGCGGGCATACCGGCACATACTATAAATACCCTTCATATCTCTCCATGTCAGCATATCGAGGTGCTGTCAATTATCACAAGCAGTTAAGTGGCCAAAATATCTGACATTGTTGAGATATAGAATCAGTGAGAAAATGCCAGAAATTGTGAATTATTGCTTAGTTGTCACTAGCAGTTGCTCAAGCATAATTAACAAGTGGCTCGTGTTCCGTCAGACAATGCGCGTGGCTGTCATGCTTAGCCGCAAAGATACCAACGCTAAATTAGCACAATCCATTCAAAATACCGGTGCTCACTGACTAAACGCATAATTGTGGTTAATTGAAAACTGAATTGGAAAACTGAATCAACAACAACGAATGTAATATCTAAATCATCAATGTCACAGTTTGTTGCTTATTTATATTTTACAGACCGTGTGTCGATTTGCATTGTATGCCTTGCCTGTGCCAGGACTTAATATAAGTTAAAAGGCAGCATCTCATAAAAAAAAAATAAAAAAAAATGTAAAAACTGTTAACGGAAGTTATAATTGATTTTCAATTTAGTTAAAAGTGTAATTTCCAGAAAAGTTAGAGTTGCCCCTTCACCGCTTTTAAGCAGAACTCTGTCCCCAAACTATCATTGTGACCTAACCCTGGGAGGGACAGACCCGCAAGGCAGAGGTGTGCTTCAGTGCATAAAACAAAGTATGTGTATAAATCACTCAGGATATTACCGGTTAGTAACAAGGAACCATAAAACTCATTCTGCATTCCATTCAAATAACTTCACTATCCTGAATTTTGGGTATTTTGGAATTTTACACCAGAATAGCTAAACTGGAATATTTGGCCTGCAATGAGCAACTCCAATTGACGATCCCTTACAATTCACAGTTTGGAGAATTAACCCTAAAATTAACAAGGGCTTTATTCACTAAACAGTAACTTGCAGATAATTAAAAATTGCTAAATATAGTCCAAAATAGCCAAACTATAAAAACAGTAGAACTGGGTGAATGCGTCCCAGGTGTTGCAGTCCATAGTTTGTACATAATTTTCGACTGTAGCAAACACACGATAATTTCAAAATGTAGCCCAAAACACTGGAAAAAATAAAAAATCCGTGTTTCTAGTTTGACTATTTTGGCCTGAGAATTTACTTTGAATATGTGAAAATGAATGACCTTGTAACAGTTTAGTTACAATGTATAATTAAAGGGTACCTGTCAATGTACCTCCAAACTATGCTCTTTTTAAATAGCATAAAATGCTGTCTATACATTGTACTGGCAGATTTGCAAGCAAATGAGATTGGGTGAAAATCCTATTTAAAAATAAGTATTTCTCCCACCTGACAGTCAATTCTTCGGCATAGTGTTCCCACATGCGGTCCTTCTGCTCTCCACACTTAGCAACTATAGCGCATGTGCTGGTAGCGCTGACTAGGGAGAATAGGAGAGCAGTGATTAATATCACTCTGCTCAGATGCAGGCAAATGAAGTCAGCGCGTCAGAGGTAAGATAAACATATCACAAAATGTTACATTTAATTCATTGTTTATAAGTGTCATATATGATGTATTCAATGTACAAAACTAATGACAGGTTTACTTTAAGCTTCTTGGTGAGGTCCATGCATCTCTTTAAATGCATAAAGTACATCTGTGACCACATACCAAGTTCCTCATTAGAAATGATACAGCAGTGAACAAGTCTCCCCATGTAGGATACATTTGGGTGATGGCTTTGGACATCAGACTTGACAATGGTTGTTATTTGTCAAATAGTGATGGTGGCATAAGTTATCACTATTTGGACCTCACTGGGGTGTAAACTGAATGCATAGATTCCCAAGTTGGCAATGCATGACGGGAGCCGCAGTTTAATAACAGCTGGAGAACTAATGTTCTTCCACCGCTGACCTAGACTCCTGCACCAGTAAAGGCCAGAAGGTGAAGAGATGAACGCGTGCAGTGGGAGGCTCATAAATAGTCCCCATGATAAGTTCTGCTGCTGCTTGCCAAACTTTTATCCACCAATTATCTGCCCAGGAGGGTGCCATGAACCGACTCCAGGGACGACAACGTAACTTTAACATTAACACGAACAGAACAGAATGGAACAAAACGCTCTCCTGTTGTAGCTAAATATTGTAAATCTCCCTGAGCGAGCTTGTTCAGTTCGTGTCCATGAAGGGCACTAAAGGATTAAGCATTCTGTGTGCTCAAGCAGTGAGTCAATGCTGCAATGTGTCTGCAATGTGCCAACACAGTTTTTTCAGGTTCATGCAATCATGTGTAATTCTGCATTGGCACACAGTCTCCTATATTGTTACCGTAATCCTAAAATCAACTGTCCGTCTCTACAACTCGCCCGAGAAAAGAAAGAAAAGGGAAAAAAAATAAATCAGCCAGCTTTATTAAAAACACCATGCCTTGTTCGCCTCAGCTCGCCTCTGACCTTCCTTTGTTTGACACGGACCGTGTAAAAACAATCCATCTGGGTCAGTGCACTTGATGGAGATTAGTAAGTGGTCAGGGCATGTAGTAGCACAGTGACTGCGGAGAGCTGGGCACAGAAAAAAAACAGCAGTATTTACACTTCGGGGTCTATTAGCTAAACGGTGAGTTGCAGGAAAATGGCTTCCAAGATTGTAAGGGTTATTGGAAGCACCATGACCACTTCACTGATTTGAAGTGGTCATGGTGCCCTGAGTCTGTGTTTTGCTATGAATAGCTGCACATATGGAGATTAACCCCTCTGCTGCTTGAGCCATTTAGGCATCATTAGTTCTGGGCTGGCTAATGTCAATTCTGTGCCTGTTTCTCTGTACAGAATTGAATCATTGGCTGAGAGTGGTCAGCTGATATTCTCAGCCAACGAATGGCATTTGGCTCAGGAGCTCTGCAGAAGCCGGATGCAAGTCGCATCCAGCCCTAGAGGAAATCCAGCACCCAGCAGGACCAGGTAAGATGGCAAATCTTTGCAAAATGGTGTACCCCAGTTCCAGTAGACTATACCAGCATACTCTTAGAATCATACATACAGCAGGATGTAGTGGTTATAGTGATTGGAGTAGCCCTGTTGGAAACATTCTCCAGTGTAGCTTAGAGATAGCTTCCCAACTCAATTATTTTGGATACATTTTCCATGTCAGCGTTAAACTTGCTACAATGTATTTAGTAAATTATGATTTTTGTGTGCAGAGGGCTGAGTAATGCACTCTATTAGTAGGAAAGTGAACAGTGCTTAGGGCAGGGCCAGACTGGGGACACAAAGCAGCCCTGGAAAAAATGATATGCCAGCCTCATAAATCATTGCGCCATATATTGTCACATGTAATATGTAAGGCTATGTGTATGTATAAATACACATAGCCTTACATATTATATATATTAAATGGTTTACTCTGAAAGGACCAATATTTTACATTTCTTTTTCTAATGTAAAATATTGGTCCTTTCAGAGTAAAACGTTTAATTATACAGTAAGCATACTCACCTGCAGACACAGATAATCTCACTGACACACACAAGCTCATTGATACACAGCCTCATAGACAAACAATCTCACTGATATACATAAGCTCATTGACATAAAATAATAAGAAGATAATTGTTGCATTGTGTGGAAAGTTATAACTAATGTGGGGAAATAGGGTGTGTGATAATAATAGTGGTTGTGATGGAAGGATAAGGGCTGTGATAGGGTTAGGGGCAGTAGTGGGGAGTAGGAATTGTAGAGGAGATTTACTGGGAGTTAATGGCTGTGATGGGGAAATTGAGGTTGTAATAAAGGGTATAGGGGCAGTAATGTGGGAGATAGGGGCTGTGATTAGGGAGATAGGGGCTGTGATGGGGAGGTAGGGACTGAGATGGGAAAGGTAGGGACCGAGATGGGGGAGGTAAGGGCTCAGATGGGGGAGGTAAGGGCTCAGATGGGAGAGAAAGGAGCTGAAATGGGGGAGGATTGGGGAAGTAGGGGCTGAGATGGGGGATTGGGGTGAGACTTGGAGGTAGAGGCTGAGATAGGGGCTGAAATTGGGTTTATAGGGGGGATGAGGGCTGAGATGTGGGAGGTAGGGGCTGAGATTGGGGAGGTAGGGGCTGAGGTTGGGGGTTTGGGGTGAGATGGAAGAGGTAAGGGGTGAGATCGGAGAGGTAAGGGTTGAGACGGGGAGGTAGTGGCTGAGATAGGGGCTGAGATAGGGTTTATAGGGGGGATGAGGGCTGAGATGTGGGAGGTAGGGGCTGAGATGGGGAGGTAGGGGCTGAGGTTGGGGGTTTGGGGTGAGATGGAAGAGGTAAGGGGTGAGATCGGAGAGGTAAGGGTGGAGACGGGGGAGGTAGGGGCTGAGATGGGGGGGTTAGGGCTGAGATAGGGGCTAAAATGGGGCTTATAGGGGAGATAGAGGCTGAGATGGGCGGATTGGGGTTGAGATGGGGAAGTATGGGCTGAGGTGGAGGATTGAGGCTGAGATGGGGGCTAATAGCAAAAATGGTGGCTAAAAAGGGGGTTATAGGGGAAATAGGGCCTGAGATTGGGGAGCTAGGGGCCTGAGATGGGGTGGATTGGGGTTGAGATGGGGGAGGTAGGGGTTGGGGCTGAGATGGGGGAGGTAGGGGCTGAGATGGGGTCTGTGGTTGTGAAATAGGGGCTGAGATGGAGGAGTAAGGAGCTGAGATGGGGTGGATTAGGGCCGAGATGGGGGAGGTAGGGGATTTGGATTGATATGGGGGGTTGGGCTAAAATGGGGCTTATAGGGGAGACAGAGGCTGAGATTGGGGGTTGGGGTTGAGA